TTTACTATGATATAATTAAAAAAATGTAAAAAAAAATTATATTTTAAAATTATATTCAAAACCTACACATGAAGATTTCCCTGCTTTGAAAAACATTATAATGAAAATGGCAACTGTATTGCACTGAACGTATCTATGCGAACAATAATTTACACGAATGAAACAAGCAAAATCAGTTCATAGATTATGGATGAGATGGATGAATGATAAACATATTCATTACATTTTGAGGATTGGAACAATCAAATTCCAACAAGATTTTTCATTAATAGTAAATGAAACATAAGCTCAAATTTCACATTAAAAATAAACGCACGACATCTTTAAATATTTTTTTAGTTGTTCTATTAATGTGTATTTGAAATGTTTAAAATAATTATAAAAATTAATATATTTCAATAAAATATCATGTTTTGTAATAATTTTCCTTTTTCCTAAAAAATTATAACGGACGATATAGAATACCTTTGCGAGTTAGGAACCACTGATCTAGACCATGACCTAGTCAAACGCTTGAATTATAATCGCTTGAATATTTACCATAAAGGTAATATTTATATTTATATTCTACCGTACACATGGTTCTAGTGTTAATATTTAGTTTAGGTAAAAATCTTTGTTGAGCTTTACAATAACTTCACCTTGAAAACAATCATTTTATTTCTTTATCACTTTATATACTTCCATCACCGTCCACATGATAAAATATGATCTTCACGAGGGTTAATATTTTGGTCTAGTACGAAAAATCTAGGTTTTCTTATATTTATCCAGTGGATAGGAAAGGGTTTTGGCGGTTCGACTCCTCTCCAGAAATTTACGGTCAGTACGGCACACGTGCGGAATTATTTAATCCGTGTACTATAAACTAAACTCAATAAACAGAATTGCTCGCGTGTAAATAAAAATAGTTGATTGATTGTGTTATAGAGTTTAATACGCGCGTGTGTACGTTGTACTAAATACAACAAAATATATTGTTCTTGGTGTCAATATTAATAACTTTACCGGAATCAACAGCGTCAACAGAAAAATATTTTTCTACGTTAAAAGGATTGAAATCGTACTTGAGAAATAGTGCAAGCGAAAATCGACTTACAGGGTTAGCACTCGGGTTAATTCATCAAAGTATTACAGTAGACCTTGAAAAATAATCAATAATTTTTACAGAGCTGCCTCGAAAATTAGACAATGTTCAACACTTCAATTTATATAATTAATAAAATATTATAATCATCACAATTATTCAGGTAAAGTTAATTTATAATATTAATTAAACCTGTTTTTAATTTATTCCTCCCCCCTCCCTTGAATTTAAATCCTATACACCTATGCCATCATGTATACCATATTATCATACGAAATATCGTATTATTCTAATACAACGTGACTGACGAATTCCGGTGATATTATCAGAATTCTAATATAATTTTTCATTTTTAATTATTTGCGTTAAATACTTAGATAAATGTTTAATAGGAATTGAATAATGTTCACGACAAAATAAATATCATTGAACATTTCACAAGTACAGATTAACGCGTATAATAAAGGCGATAAAATAATTACAACTTACCTACTATTATTTCTGAATCGATGTACATTTATTTTAGTAATGTGTGCCGCGAAACGGAAATAGGAATATTTTTCAACGTAGTGATTACTATAAATAATATGCTGTGAATGTGTTTAGCCACGATTTGATTAATTTATCCATGTAATACCGAGGGGATGTAATTACCGACCGCGTGTATATTCACATTTAAGTGCGATATGGAGATGATTGTTATCATATTTCAGCGCAATTACCCGCACTCTCATTCTCGTTAGGTATACTATACATTAAGCAGTTGATATTTTGTCCAACAGAGTATTATTATAATTTGTGTTTTCTCCGATTCGATTCTGTTGAAGTTAAAATTCATATTCGTTTATACGAGTATATCTTTGTGACATCTGAATTCTTTCCAAAATAATATGACTATTAAACTTGTGCATATGTTAGGTAAAAAAAATATTACTTGGGACTGTAGCAAATTTTAGATGATTTAATTCATTACGTGTGTTTATTAATTACATAATTAAGTTCAGTTGATACTACTTAAAATTTAAGAAAGATAAAAAATTCGAGCGGTCAATATCGTAACTTATGTTACAAAAAATGTATTATATTAATGTCAAAATACATTTAACCTTAAACGTCATACAAGTTATTACTATTCGAATTTATTTGAAATTCGTTGATTTGCATAACAAAGCCTATTCTGCACACTGTAAATAAATCAATTAAGTGTTTTGCCGAAGGGCTTCATGAATATTGTGCACGAATTCAAATCCTACGGTATGGTTCATTTACAAACTGAACTTTGCAATAGACACATGTACCATTAATTTTTATTAAAATAAAAACCACACTTATATCATACGTATATGATGTTATTCAGTACATTGATTATAATTGCCTTTACTTTTTCTTTAAACAATATATACATAAAGTATATGTATGTAATACAGAATTTGTCCGTCTCAACTTTGCCTCTCGTGTTAATTACGTTTATGGTAAAACGAAATGAAACACATTTATTTGAGACGTACGCTATCATGTACGCAAACATTTCGTCAGAGGCTACGGGGAATTCGGGTGTTCAAACTCGTCTCCCCTCGACGAAATTTTAACGAATTGAGAAAAAAGTTATTGCTTAATACAGTTTAAGTTCAATATCATAAACATTTGCCAAGGTTATTTTTACAATCCATTGTTAATGTACTATAAAATTAATTATTACCAAAATTATTATCTTGTCAAATAAAAACATTTGAAATAGGTACGTGGTAGTAAAAATAATGAACCTCCCTCCCTGCCCAAAAAACATTTCTAGACACGTTCCTGCATTTCGTGGTTTATGTACTCGTCGCATATTGTCTAGTTTAATATTGGACAAATTCTTACACTCTAATTTGAAATGGTAATAACATTTTCTAAATTCATTGTTGTAACATTAGTTTATTTTCCACAGTTTGGTTAAAAAAAATAAAACATGTGTTGAATATTAATGGCTTTATCTGTATTTATATTTGATAAAAAAAAAAGAAAAATCTCTATTCTTCATTATCGATGAAATTATTAAACATCCCCATCGTTGAGTTTGAAATTAGTTTAATTAATTATAATAAATTGATCCAAAAAACCACTTTAGTGTTCAACACGAAAAATAAATTAGAGATAATAAATCAATGTAACATCCACCATGTGGATAAAAATATTTTGTAATTCAATATTTTTGTAAAATAAATCAGTCTCAAAATTATATTATTCTTATGATGGTAGTATGTCAAAAAAAATATGTAATTTCAAATTTTTTTCATTTTTTTTTATTTTCTAACTAAATTATTAATTTATTGTCATAGTTGAATGAATAGAGAATATTATTTTTGCATTAGTTAGGTAACACGTATGGTTTTCAACTAAACTACTTGAAATTATATTACAATTTTATTTAAAAAATTATTTAATGCAAGAATATTATTTATTAAAACTCAAATTAATTGTATTATTAAAATATCAACTTATAATCTATTATATTATTGTCAATACGGAAGTATAAACTATGATAGTTATTAATTATAGTATAAATTAACTTTGGCGAAACCTAAATCTTGGATGTAAAATAATATTTAATGTTTGAATATAATAAAATAAAAAGATTTCAACTTAAATTTGAACGGTATCAAAATATTAATTTATTAAAAGTACGAATAAGTTACGAAAAAAGTACGAAGTTCGTAATAAAATATTTATAATTGTAATTCTGGATGATCTAATTCAACAGTGTGACACTCAATATTTGAGAAATTTTGAGAAATCTACTTGTAATTTAGAGTAAATGTTGAATGTATGTAAGAACTATTTTCTGAATAATATAATTTAGGCAAGTCAAATGCAATAGTCGGTTTGGACAATGAATTCGTAGATTCCCGGTTTCCAGCGTACATTTTTTATATAATTAAATACTGTAAGAGACATGTGTCAGTCAGGGTTAACTACAAACAAAAAAAATAGTACTAAGATCAATACATTCCTTTTTACTCATTACGTGTTTTTTAGTTCAACATTATATTAAATTCAAACAGAAAATAGATGTAGACAATAATTTGCTACATGTTTGCCATAATATTGTAATAATAATTTATCGTGATTAAAATACACTAGAACTCAAAGTGTATAAAACATTTATGAAATTTGTGTATTCTATTTTAAGTGGGTCAATATAACACAAACTATCAAGTAAAGTGTGTAGAATATGTTATAAACTACGTTGCGTGTGTTTCATTTTTGAGATACTCTTTGAACAATATTATAATTATTATTATTCACGCATCGATAAAATACTCCTATATTATAATAACGAAAAACAAAAATAAGCAATAGTTCAATAGTTTTCAAATTAAATCGGACACCCATCTTATACACAGTATAACTGAATATTTACTTTTCGAACGAGATAAATCTTTGGTCGAACCTTTTATAAAAATACGTACGTGTTCAGTTGAAGAAAATACTGAAATCATTGCGTTCGTTGGTATTTTACGTTTTTTGACTACTTCTACAGCCCATCGTTTCCCAACCTTTTGATCGCGACCTAACATTGGTTCGCAAAATATTTTTTATGGGTCATTGTTCGTAAACTAAAGACGAAAAAAGTATTTTTATGATAAATATATATTTATATTTATCAGAATTACGTTAAAGTATATGATAAAATTCCTTATAATTAGTAATTAGTATTAGTGTTTTTTTTTTTTTTTTATAGGGTTGTCTACTCAATACGAAGAACATTTATGGGCCTTAGCATGTATGTTGGGAAATACTGGTATAGCTGAATAGGTAGTTGTAAAGGAAATAAGGATGTTTCAAATCGTTATTCATGAAAAGTGCGTATAAGTTTTATTATAATCAGTTATGATAAAAAATTGAACTAAATAGAGAAAAATGATCATACTCGTTTAAATGTATGGTTCGTAAGTCTTTTGCATCGCTGCTCCGGCGGCGATTAGCTATGTTATGGTTTTGATATTTGTTGGACTTGCCAGATTTGCAAGGTGACGAAACTGGAGAGAATTTGACACACGGAGATCGAAATAGGTTTGCCGAGGATTTAACGCTTTTCTTAGAACCAACATTACCTAAAAAAAAAAAGTAAAAAAAATAATTTGTATTATTAATATAATTCTAGCCTTAAAACATTAAAAAAATATGCAAAAAATTGCTTTATAAATTATACTATGATAAAATGGTAATAATTGCATAATCGTCGAATGATCACATTGTTTTTTATCACTAGGTAGTAGAGAAAAAGCTTTAAATATTTCTGGATATGTTGCGTAACATATGGATTTTAATTTTTCAGTGGCACAAGATTGATTAATGATCTGAGAATCTTACTTTAATTAAAGTTTAAGCCCTAAATTCAAGTAATTATCATTAATAATCATTAGACCTGGATCACAAATGCTGAAAACAATAATTTAAACAATAGTAATAGTGGAAATGTTCATCGACAAGTAATCACTTATTGATCAACAAAGCTGTTTGGACTGTCCATCAATTCCGTAGCTTAAATTATTCAACTGTTAAAATACTTGTATCCAAGTAAGTGCCTCGACGCTGTAGGTAATGAAAAAATTATTTATAACTTTTTGGAGCCTAAAAAAATATGGAATTGTAATATTTTTACCTATACTTTTATCGAAACCTTTCAACATTTTACAATGATATTACTGTGTTAATAATTTAGTATTGTATACCTACGTCCTACCATAGTGTTTAAATTTGTTATTGTATTGTAACGATTCAAAATATAATCTGAATGCAACAACGAAAATATTTGCTGTTTTAAAAGTCTTGTTATGGTAAATTAAAATTTGTTTTGATTATAAAAAATAAAGTGATTATTTTAATTTAAAATAAATAAAATGATAAAATGTAAAACAAATATCGATTATGTTATAATAGAACATGGGATTAAAACACCATAAATTATAAATTTATACTTCAATATTTTCCATTAAATATGAGACAGATTTTAGTAAATGTATATCGTTACTAGTGTTGGGAAAAATTCGGATTTACCGAAGTTCGAAAATTCGGATTCATGAAATTTGAAATCCGTAATCCGGATTTTGGATTTTAAAACATTGAATTAATATTTTTTTATGGTTTCCTTATATTAAAGCCTTGATAAATACACATTTTTTTTTTTTTTTTTTTTTTAATGAATTAATATATTTATAGGAAAACTTTTAAAGCAAAAATTTAACAACAACAACAATAGTTATCAATATCGCAACAGCATGTAGATGTTATGACCTAAATTCAATTTATACATAAAATTAGTAACAACATTTATAAGTATCAGAATAATTTATCCAAAAAAACACAATAAATAATACTTTTATTAAATACATTATTATAAATATATTAAATACAAAATGAAGTGCAAAAATATGTAATGGTTTTACAATTCATTTGTTATCATTAGTTAAAATAATATTTTTATTTAAAATAGAAAATGTTCGTTTATTTACATAAGAATTTATAACGAAAAATTTAAGTTTCTGATTTAGAATACAGAAATCCACAACGTGAAACCCAAATATTCGGATTTTACAACTTAAAATCCGAAATCCGAATTTTCCAGATTTTCGGAGAATCTAGATTTCATTCCCATCACTAATCGTTACTTATATGCCATTAAATTAGTAATATATTTATTATTTATTTTTCTAATCGCTTTGTCGCCTTTGTATTGCATTTCCTCCTCTTACAACAATGCTTATAATTCCTTCCGAACTAATACTAAATTGTCGTCTTTTATTCGTTTACTTCTTACTACTACGCAAGCGCCTTCTCCGTCGACCACTCATTGTATTTGGAATTGATTTTAATTAATTCGGTCTTGTTTGATCTCTTATCAATGTTTGTCGTCGTTGAAAATCGTCATTCGTTTTACAAGACATAAAATGGATTAGGCACATTTGTCAATACTGATGACTCACCTTTGTTGATGAACAATCTCTTTCGCTGTAAAATTACAAGCGGTATACGTTCAACACAACTAATATTGCCTACTAACCGTAACTGAGTAACCCATCGTTAAAAATAAAAATAAAAATAAAATAGATTTTTCGGACAGCTATACGAATAAGTATAGCTGTACTTCACAACAACTTATTCTATGAGAAAAATATTTTTAACTTTCATTTTTCCCGCAATTACCGTATAAATATAAAAGATTAAAAATAATGTGCTGACCGAATGGTAGTTGTTTAATTTTTATAAGAATTACAAAACATAAAATAATTATAAATATATTATGATATCCGTAATAATCGTAACAATATTTATTTTCTTACCTATCTAAGCTTTAGAATTGCAAAAGAACTATGGATTTATACAGACCTAATGTAATTAAAAATTAAAATATGTAAGTATTATATTATTTAAGAATTATACTATACCTGTCAGAAAAACAATTGAGTTTTAATCAAATCAAATTCCAATTCGAACTACAATGTTTTCGGTGAGTATTTCCGTCTCATTCAAAACCATTTTAAATCAATTAGATGCTCGGTAGTTCGTTTAGGATTGAATTATTTATTAACAGGCTGACGAAATGTTACATTAAATCTGACAGTCATGATGAGAACGTGACCATTTTCTTTTTCTTTTCATTAATTCAATCGTTCCGAGGACTAGAGAAGCAGTCGGTTTCGTTTAGAGTAATCTAAAATAAACTAAAACAAAATATCCTCGTTTTGTATTTACAAACGAATTATATGCTTTAGTGTTTTTCCCTCCTGAAACCCTGTTCGATACCGATTTATTTCGACGAGGGACGACTGCATTTTCTATAAATTTCTTAACGCTGAACTGAATGTGGACTTTGACATATATATTTATAAATATTTTAATTAAAATAGTATCGAAATGTGTCGTGTACGTAAATATATATATATATATGAGTATATACACACTTATTGGCGTTATTCGCTGAAATACACATTGATGAAACCGCATCACTGTAATACAACTTAATTATTTGTTTTTTTTTTTTTGTGGAGGTCGATTATGATTATATTTTTCTTAGGTACTTGAAAAAAAATTACATTAAATTATATCCAATAGATATAGTAAATGGAAAGAAAATTGAAAAAAAAAAATTCTCAAGTATATATTTTGGTCTTATATTTAAGTTTACTCGGGGAGCACAATGTATAGGGGATGAAGATTTGTTCATTATACATTTTTTTGAAATTTTATTTCAAAAAATATTACTACTACAACAATAGTTTATGAAAATGATACCACTGTTGTGTTTATATAAAAATAACACTAATTATAATCTACCTCATATGGCAAGAATATATAAATACCAGAGAAAGTATATAGGTATCTATATTAATAGTTTTATACGTATATCACTGTGGTAGTTTGTACTAGATACAGTAACCGAATGAAAATATAAAAAAGCGATCATCAGAATAATCAAGTTTTGTTAAAGAAAAAAACAGGTGCTTTTGTTGATATTATTTTATTTTTTTATTTTTACTTTTTTTGCTGTATCTCAGCATTTTCTCGATAACTACTAGGAAAAATGACTTTTCTTAAATAAAAAATGTAGTATTCTATTTTAAATTTTTCAATTTATAAAGTAAACTTTTCACAGCCCAAAAAAAATTGTAACCAATTTGGTTTTCTATCAATCAGCTAAAAATCTAAAATTCGCATGTATTCGCAACGTATTATTAAACTGATTTCAATCAACCGGTGAACCTCAAATCACGTCTAATTACCAATGATGGTATTTCTTATAAAATTATATTATAGTTACAGTTTCCATAATAAAATTAGCTGAAAATTATTGCACTAATGCTTCGATTTGTGTACAATATCATACTACCAATTTTAATTACAAATCGTATATGCGTTTAAAACCACTCTCATTTATTCGTTAACAAAAATTTAATCCGCAGCAATAATATTTTAATTTTACCGTTGTACAACCGATCATGGGATAAATTCGGCTATTGCATTTTATTTACGTTTATTTTAATTACATCCAATTTACATGGATTACTGTCGGATGTATCTTTCGTTTATTTTTTTTTTTTTTTTTTCAGCGGGATCAATCGAACTGCATATAGGAAAGCACAGTCATCAATTTCGACTCAATATATATTCTTGCTTCGAAAATTCGATTTAACCTGTATGTACTTGTCATCTTGCTGAAAATGTTGTTTAGATTTTCCCCAGGTTTTTGCTTTACATAATCTTGACAAAAAGACAAAACTTATAACGCAAATGTAACCTTATCAGCATTCATAGTGCAGTCACCGTAATAACGTATCGGACTGACAAGTGACAATGTGTTTTCCGCTTATGGAACATTGAACTTTAATTTATTGTTTTTTTTATTATATACTGTGAATAAGAGTGTCTTATGAATAATGTATATAATATTAATGTAAATCTGATGGGAATATTGTCCGAGCGTCGTTGTCTATGATTTTGATAAATTTAAACGTACCGTGTTACAGTGACGTGATTAGAACTTGATTTTGGGTGAGGGAGGATATATAGGTAATATAAAACTATCTCAAAAATATGATTTTCAGTTATTCTTTTCTTTTCTTTAACAATGTTGTGGTTACATTGTTGTCGGAATAATATTTATATTTATAGCCTATTGGTAAATTTCTTATCATTTTCATTTCATTAGTGTTAAAAAATTTAGTTAATCTAAAAATAGATTTATATTATATAGGGAAATAAGGCAATTTGAACCTATACCTTACCGAGATTAAAACGCTGAATTGCAAGCACGTTAAATCCGATATACTTATAAAAGAAGAAATATTGTCGGATCTAAGTTAATGTACCCTCGAATGCGTTTCGTTAGCAATCGATATCGGTGATATTTATTTTTTATTTCATGACCAATTCTACCCAACTTCCGTATGGATTCTAAGCAATGCAGCTTTGCATATTTTTTTTGGCAATAAATCGACACGTTTACTTTAAGTAACGGCTGGCCGGGAAGGTTTTCTTAAATATTTGTCTTTGAACATTGAAGTAACCGAGCTTCAATGTAGCCTATGTATCCTATGTATACTTTAGGTATACT